CCAAGATATACACATGTAACCATAAGTGGGCGTGGCTACGCCCATTTTCCAAAAATTTATAATATTCTTATTTTTCGTCTAAAACTTATTATAAATATCAATTTTGAGTGAATAATCTCCAGTAGTTACTAAAATATCGCAGTTTTCGTATTTCTGAAAATTACCGTTATATGGGAAGTAGGCGTGGTTATTGACCGATTTTAAAAATTTTCGGCCATTTGGTATGTTATGCGAAGGCCAACAACTGTGCCAAGTTTGGAAGAAATTGGTGCAGCGGTTACCAAGATATACACATGTAACCATAAGTGGGCGTGGCTACGCCCATTTTCCAAAAATTTATAATATTCTTATTTTTCGTCTAAAAATTATTGTAAATATCAATTTTGAGTGAATTATCTTCAGTAGTTACTAAAATATCGCAGTTTTCGTATTTCTGGAAATTACCGTTATATGGGAAGTGGGCGTGGTTAAAGTCCGATTTCGCCCATTTTCAATACCAACCTACCTTGGATTAAGGGAAACCCACATACCAAATTTCGTTGAGATATCTCAATTTTTGCTCGAGTTATCGTGTACACGGACAGACGGACAGACGGACAGACGGACGGACAGACAGACATGGCTTAATCGATTTCTTTTTTCATCCTGATCATTTATGTATACATTTGTCTATATCTATCTCGATTCGTTTTGGCTGTTACAAACAACCGTTATGTGAACAAAATTAATATACCCTTGTGCACAAGTGCGCTCGGGTATAAAAATTGATAAGAACCTGTTCTTTGGGGTGGGTGTTACCCATGCACATATTTAGTACCGGATCCGTTGTATGTTCTCTTAGGATTGATCCGATTTCTGAAAATTTCGAGGGAAGATATCTCTCTATATATGTTTCCAGTTGGGGGTGAGATCCGATTCTCGATCGAGGCGAATGTGGAACCTTTTCTGACTAGCTCGTTTCCGGGAATGTTGAAATGACCAACAATCCAAACTAAATCTAGATCGATATGACTTCTTACTGCGTTTAAAAGAGTCCTAAACTCCCTGATCAGTTTTTACCTTATTGTCAAAGACGCTATGGCCTTATTGACCACCTGGCTAGCCGAGAACTCTCGCCGTGACCTATTAAAAGGCGACAGTCCTCAGCTTGCCAAATCAGCAGATGAGACCTACTGCAAGTTGAGGGAAGGAAATCCGACGTAATATGTCCATGAAAAGAACTTTAGATGTTGGTTGGCAGGAACAGTGGCCCAGAATCCTAACGCAGAGTGCAGCGACTTGTATTTTAATGGTTTCAATGCCGGGGCAGTTGCTCACATCCAAGGTCCGTCTGGTCAAGAAAGCTCTTTACTATAGTTAAGTCGTATGCTCTCTTTTGCCTACACTATCCATGGCCGTGTTTCTAAACCTTTAATAAAAATCAAAAAGGTCAGGAACGCCAGAAATGATAGATTCTCTTTCTCATACCTACAGGCTGCAGATGCAAATCCATTAGCATACATGCAAATACGCCTTAAGACCAGGGACCGCAGCCGTTATGGTTTTTAAAATAAAAATCCTAATTTAATCGTTATTTTGTGATTTTTATTTTTCCGATAATTTTTAATAGATAGTTATTGGGGCGAATCGAAAATCATGAAATTTTCCTATCATTTTCTATACCAAAATTTCAAATTTTCGATTCGTACGAAAAAAATAGGCCTCATTATGTGATTTTTATTTTTTCGATCATGTTTAATCGTTATTTTGGATTTTTTGCGATCATTTTTGACGGTTATAATAGAGACTGTGTTTTTATTGTCGATTTAAACCTTTTATGATCTAAAAAATTAAATCTGAAAATAACGGTTATAAAATGATCAAAAAATAAAAACCAACGGAAAAATAAAAATCCAATTATAACGACTATTTTTGATCGAAAAAAAAATAAAAATCATTGAATAACGATTACTTTTAATCGATAAAATGAAAAATCATAAAATAACGATTAAAATTTATCTAAAAAAATAAAAATGAGTATTAAAGATTTTAAAATAAAAATCCTTCATAATAACGATAATTTTCGCTACCTGCTTAATAGCACTATCAAAGACATCATACTAAACTTTAAGAGTACCTAGTCACTTATTTTTATCCCAAACGTAGGACAAACTATAATAAAAATCATCTTATTCCGACCGCAGCCAGCATTCGCCACCATCGTTTTCTGCCGTCTTATGGTTGTGGGCATTTTCATGGATCTTCTTTCATCAAAATTTTTACCGATAATTTTTATTTTAGTCTGCAAGAGGTTGCAATGTACATTCAGAATCCATCTTCCAGCCAAATATGTCTATGGTTAGGGGTGAGAATTTTATATCACCAGCCTTTCTGGCATACGAATCTGATCTTCATTTTCATTTATTGAGCAAACTAGTTCTTTTCCGATGCAAAAATTTCCCAAACCCCACAGCAAATCGAAAACTGGCCCTAGCAGCGTAACAACTCAATTTCAGCAGACATTTAATTGATCTAAGTGGAGCTGTATTCGATTTTTGTTTGAGTTATGAAAGGCAGTTTAAAGTCCATTTAAATACAATACAATTTCACCACACATATGTATGCAGCTGCACTACCCTAGCTTTGTACTTGAACAGACAATAAAATGTGATTATTTTAAATTGTTAAAACTAAAACACAATTAATGAAATGCATTATGAGGCCATTAAACTTTTAAAGTGGAAAATAAAATGAAACAAGGTCAAAGCGCTCTCAGTGCCATGCGCGAATGATAACGAAAATGCGAACTGCATACATACCTATGGATTTATATATGTATTATATATGCACGTACTTTCATACTGACCATTCAGCAGAACATCACCGACGGCCGTGGTGAGCCCATTCACCAAGCAAGTAAAGGCCACCGTAAAACATCAAGCAACAACCACAGTATTGCAGTTACACAATACATGCAAATTGTAAGCAATAACTAAATATGTATATGCATGTTAAGTTTAAACGTTAATACTATTTAGTTGCATGCGAATGTAGCATATCTTCTTCACGCTCACTAAATATGTACATATGTATGTATGTACAACTGATTGCCATCGTGCGATTCATATCTGCCTATTCGTCACTATACGCTATTTATGACAGACAATTAGATATATGCAACACAAGTTTAACAGTGCATTTAAGGAGTTTGATGGTGTGCAGCCAATTGTTGCCAAGTTTTGCAAATAAACATAGACATACAGGCATACATATGTATGTAGTATGTATGTATATACAAAGCGATGAGTGACACCGAAGTCGTTACAGTGACCACTCAATGAAACCCTTCCACCTCACTTAGATATATGTAATCAGAACTAAATATCGCACACCGTCTTCAAAACGCACAGTCACAACTCAAAATGTGGCATTTTTGAAATTATGCGCTAAAAATGTACGCAGAGCTTTTATTTACCTTTCAGCAAAAGCTGGACCAAATTTTTGTTATAATTTGTTAACAAAAAAAAACCCAAGGTAAAGTCGCCCTTGCCCATATGATTATCATGTACTAAGGAATGGTTTTTCGCATTTTCTGCCAAACGTATTTTTTTGAGTTGTGACTCTTTTGAAGACGGTGTGTGATATTTCAATGCATTTTTAAATAAGTACATTAGAATGCCTCACACTTCATACAAAAAATAAATTATTTAATTTTCTCTTTTTCCCACATCAAAATATTTCGGCTCAATCCAGAATCTTGCATCATCTGGACCGCGCTTAAAATACTCCTTAAAATCAGGGGCCTAACTGTTATAACGTTTATTAAAAAAAAAAAAACTTTTTAATGATAATTTTTAAAGTTTTATTTTTTGCTCAGAAAATAAGTTATGGTTGGTAAACAAAAGTTATTTTTAACCGACTTCAAAAAAAGGAGAAGGTTATCAATTCGTCGGAATATTTTTTTTTTTTTTTGTATGTATGTTACCGCATAACTTTGGACCAGGTCAACCGATTTCCCATACTAATTTGGTTTATATCCGATCATTGGATCACGAAAAGATTAACGGTACTCCTACATTTTTATGTTAGAACTGAAGTCGGTTGTGTTTTTTGCTTAAAAATTACTTGTTTAAGTTTTATTCACTGCTTAGAAAACACTTAAGTTTGGTTTTCTATCTTTTGCTTGTGTCTTCCTTAAAAGGCCGGAGTGAACTACCAACTCATGAGAAAAATATCATTAAAAGTAAATACGAACACAGATACGAACACGAAGAAAATTACGAAGATGAAAACGAATAGGAATACGAAGACCAAAAGGAAAACCGAGACCAATATGAAGGCGAAAGCGATTACGAAGGTATGTAGAATAGAATATGAAATAGGGGTAGATGAGGACAATGCGAACACGAACGAAAACGAAGATGAACACTAGTACGAAGAAGACGATGAAGACGTATGAAAAAACGAATACGAACCCAAAATCAAATACGAATACGAATACGAACCCGAATGCAAATGCGAACGCGAACAAGAAGTTGAATACGAAACAACTTCTGAAGAGAACCAGGGTTTTCCAATCGAAAAATATTAATCTTCGAGAATTGTACACCATTTCTACCAATTTTTTCTCCCACATAAAATACATGGACAACTTTAAGCGGTTCGAGCGAACTCTAAATATTTTTTGATGTCAAAATTAAAAATGTTGGTATATTTTTTTCGATATAGAACAATCCTAGGGGGGTGAGCGCATTAAAATTACGACTTAAGTTATTTTGGACCACCCTAGTATACATGCTTCCACGTTTCCCAACAAAGTATTCGGATTTCCTGAACAAAATTTTAATAAATAACGATTTAATGATATGATTTTGGAACAAAGGAATGTGCAATATAGATGCTGCTATGCTGAAACACGCTTATATAAGTAGCACTTGAAATACTTGTGAAATTGATAAATCTATCGCTTAATAATTAAGCACTGCATTAACAAGTTTATGATTACTAAAAGCGTCCTCATTGATGGCTATCTGGGTGGCCTCTACGCGGCGTCCGGCCGCCAACTCGAATGCTAATGCCATGGCTGCCCGCACCACTTGCTCAGTAGTTATAAAACGCTTTCGTCGGCGTTTAGCAATTTGTTGAACTCTTTTTTTAGCTGATATCAGTAAAATGCAGCAGTAGCGAAATAAAATTAACAAATAAAAAAAAAATTAACAAATAGAAAAAAAAATTAAATCGACAACAATAAAATTACAAAACAACATTGCTCACTGAGCGCAGCCAGCCATTGGCCGGTGGTTGCATATTTGCTTGCATGCGCCTCATCTGCTCAGAGCTGCGATAGCCACAGCTGCTAAGAGCAAATATACAAACACAAACACACACACTCTTGGTTATTTTTTATTTGTACTTGCTGCAATCACTCATTCATTGCTCTATGTATTCGCGCTACTGTTGTTACTTTTTTTTTATAGCATATCATATGCACACATTCGTTTTTTTTCTTGGAGCCCGCTTTGCACTGCTTTTAATGAAAATGAACACGTGCGTCCGGTTTGGAGCAAACAGAGACCCCAACGGAAGAAATGCCTTAGTTTGTTGAAGAAGAAGCATAAGAAATACATAACAACAAACACTAGCGCGCAATAATAAATCCAGTAATAGTGTTTGATGAGGCGAAGACTTGTGGTGGGGTAATGATTTGCTAAGGAAATGCCGGGCTGAACTGGGCTGTGGCGTGTGGCGTGTGGCAAACGCATTAAATATTCACATGGATTCATGCTAAAGGCCAAACGCTCGTTACAACCGAATTGCGATGCACTTCCGCCGCCCAATTGCGGCGAGCAGCAGTTGACGTGCATACAAATGGAAGTACATACATACATACATACATATATCGTTGCATATGTATGAACGAATTTTGAAAGACCGAAATCTCAGTAATATTGCTTAAGAATTTTCAAATCAATTTCTCAGGAACTCTGCTAAAGGGTGGTCCATATATTGGCTTCTTTTTAAAAATTAAAAAAAAAAACATAACATCACATGCAGGTGGCTGCCTCAGCTGGTTTTGAAGTAGCGCATCGCGTTAACCCAGTTTTCCAAGACCTTGGTGACGGTTTCTCGCTCTAGCGCACGAATGGCTTGTTCGATATTCGCCTTAAAGGCTTGAATCGTCAATGGACTATTCACATAACATTGGTTCTTCGCGGTACCTCAAAAAAGACGTCTAATGTCGTAAGATCTCAGCACCAAGTTTGCGAATAGACATCGCCGAGACGATTAACGAACTTGGTGCGCAAAAGATCGATTGTGGCATGAGCTGTGTGGCAGCTTGCTGAAACGAATAATCGTCTTCGATTTTCGGCCACAAAAAATCGTTTATCATGTCTCTGTAGCGCACACTGTTGACCGAATCCGCACCAAACTGTAACTCTCTGAGGGTGCATTAATTTCTCGACGATCACGTGCGGGCTTTCCGATCCCCAGGTGCAGCAGTTTTGCCGAGAATACTTTGCGTTTCGTGAGAGAATTTGATTTTTCGAGCAAACGAGCGATAACGCAGCGCTTTTCCGTGGAGACAATCGCATCTGCCTAGGTCGAGGGATTCTCACCGTCTAACAGTAGCAATACTGAATTCGCAGTCGTTTGCTTCTTGGATGCCAGGGACGGTGATGACGTAATTGGTGTCTACGTCGCAAGAATATTCTCGCCACCAGAAGGGAATTGAATTGCGCAGCTCTGTCCTGGTACTTATAGCATTGACAACTCCGTTCGCGAAAGCGTTTGAGGTGCCTTCACTCACAGAGTCGCTCATACTTGTGGCACACCGTCGCAGTTTCGAGAGGTAGCAACGAGAGCTTGAATAACTTATCTTTCTCTTCTGCTCCGGTTGCAGCGACCCTAAAGATCTTACGATCGCAACCCGAGCCGGAGGAAAATGGGTATGGAAGTTCGCCGACTTTTCGGGATCTCGTCCATGCATCTAGTGAAATCTCATACATTGTGTCCAGCGAGTCTAAAGCCCAGTTTACGTCCCGCGCGAGTCCAAGTCCATGTCGTCGTGTGCATTCGTTGTTACGTGTTCCGTACAGGCAGTAATCTTGTCCATCTACGCTGTCGATCAGGCGCTAATATGGAGGAGCAACTTCGCATTCTGTCCAAATTTGAAAGCAATTAGCAAAAAAGTTTCTAAGAGTTCAATCAAAGCGAGTGTTAAAAAATTCAAAGTAGATACCTAAATATATGCTTATATACATTGCCCTGTTAGAGGCCAATCAACTTTCAAAGTAAACTTCAAGTACATACTGGCATAAACGCAAATGCAAGGCAAACAATCAGCTGCGCATGCGCGCCTCTATAACACTGTTGTTGCACAAAGCTTAATTGCATTCGTGTCTACATGTTGTCTGTGTTTTACTGCAAACATAAAATACTCCAGACAATTGGTTGGTATGTCTTCAGCGATGTATGTATGTATGTCCATAACTCTTAACTTCTTCTTGCTGGCGTAACTGATAACGCAACAACAATGAATTTCATTCATACATTCGAAAGCAACATAATTCATTCATTCATTCATGTGCCTATACGATGCACACACATGCATACACATGCATACATACATATACATACTTACATTGCTACCCCTCTAGTTAACTTGCATCTCTGTTTACTATACATACAGTCGTTTTCTTTTCTTACAAATTTGGTTTTGGAATGTTTGCGATACTCTTAGTTTAATAATACCCTACTCTGACTTCATTTTCATTTTTATAATTAAAAGTATTTATAAGTTTGTTTCTATACCTCGTCTTCGCCCGTTGCATAGGCACGTACATATGTATGTATGTATGTGGCAAAATCAGTCAACTGCAAAAGCAGCAGCAAATGTGGCGCAGATGCAAGCAACCACCCACCAATAAAATAGCTCGAACAAACAAGCGTGTCTATGAAGCAGACGCACTGCGAAATCACAACCGAAACGCCACCAATTTCGCAACACACTTACTCGTATGATATGTGTGGTTGCATTGCTATTGGCCTCCATGCATGCGCGTCGACAGCCAAATCAGCGAAGCCTCTAGGCCGCCACGCAGCTGAGCGCTGTGTTGGTCACCGGAAAGAAATTTAACGCTTCGAGCATTTTGTTATTCATTTTCATTGCATAAGAATGTAGTTTTTTTGTTTTTGCAGCATAATTGCGTTTTTTTTTATACCTTGTTTGAAAAATAATAAGTAATGATCGGTACATAGACAGTAGAAAGTTTAATGGATTAAAGTCTCACACTTACTGTTTTGGCATTTAAGTTTTCAATGCTTGCTCCTGAAAAAAACTTCATTTCTACTTTAATTGGTTGACATATTTATGTAAAAAATACTCAGTGCGTGTAGTCCCTACGCGCGGAAGAAGTGAAACTTAATAGAGGAATAGAGAGGAAAAAGAGGAGAGAAATGTGCAATATACATACACAAGCATATATTTTCTAATATTCAAAAAAAAACTTATTTTTTAACGACCTTTAATTTTTTATTTTTTATAACCAACTGCAAAGTTTAATTATTATTTTTGCCTGCGAAAACATCCATATCTACAATACTAACTAGTGGGTTGTAATAACTAAAGTAAGATATGAAATCTTTTATTTCAATATTGTCAATAATTCTGGAAAAAACTGAATCAATTGTAGCCGCTCCTTTGGTTGTTGGATCATTTCCACCCTTAACCATTTCCGTGAAAATTTTTCTTTAAAAAGTTTAGTCAGTTCATCAGATTTGGCCAGCGAAAATTCGACGTTGAAATCTCCTGCGAGAATTACAGGTCGATCATAACAGTCTTCTTACCTTTATATTCATCTTTATCATTCATCTTCTTCTTCTTCTTCTTCTTTATCTTCGTCTTCATCTTCATCTTCATCTTCATCTTCATCTTCATCTTCATCTTCATCTTCATCTTCATCTTCATCTTCATCTTCATCTTCATCTTCATCTTCATCTTACAGAATTACAGGTCGATCATAACAGTCTTCTTACCTTTATATTCATCTTTATCATTCATCTTCTTCTTCTTCTTCTTCTTTATCTTCGTCTTCATCTTCATCTTCATCTTCATCTTCATCTTCATCTTCATCTTC